CACTCGGGTCGCTGGTCTGAGCTGGTCATAGTTGGTCTTAGCTGGTCATGGCTTATCTAAACTGGTCAGAGCTGGTCTAGGCTAGTCCTGGCTGATCATAGCCTGTCCAAGTCCGTCAGCGCTCGTCTAAGGTAATCATAGCCAGTGATATCCACTGACCTGTACCAGGTAAGTATCAGTAATTTTCTAAGCGTAGATGTGGCACAAGGCCAAAAGTATGGGAGCACCCAGTTGGGATCGAACTCACTACTCAGCCGTAACTGTGCTTGAGAGACAAGCTTGTTAACCATTACATCACCTTGAGGGGCTCCAACCTTTATCAAATATATGCCAATCCGAGTAACCTACAACGAATTCCGAAGTGAAACTCTTATTTAATCTAACTATTGAGCTTGATGTCGTTCCACTGAGTAAAACACTGGCCGGCTGGGGGCTGAACTCACAATTAATAGGCAGAATGTTTAGCACGTTTTCTTTTCGCGTTAGACTGATAGACCCAATGCTATAGAACCCTTGTCTGCCCCATTATTCAGACCATAGCTGGGAAAAGAGGGAAGAAATAGAGACTGTTTTGATTTGATTTTTTTAATGGCATATCAACACCTTATGGGTCATTTCATGTCGAATTTTTATTTACTTGGGAGCTTTGAAGCAATAAAAATGAGGAGGCACGGTGAAGTAACCGGACTGAGAAACGTGCTAATACCCTTGGGAAAGGCATTAATCCACTTCTCCACCGCCCTTCGAGCTATGGGTAAATAGCAGGACAAACCGGGTTCTATAGGCTTGGATGGCAACTGGTCTACCGCAGAAAGAAATGGCAACCTACTGTGCGAAAAAATCTGCCTCGTCAGTCATGTATCGAAAGATACATGATCACCTAACCGTATATCACGTATGGCTCATAACTGACTGAAAGGATAGCGGCTCGGATTGAGGAATCGGGAAGCCAAATTCGAATTCAATTCAAATCTATTACATTCAATTACATCCTAATATCCTTGGGAAAGGTATGAATACTCTTTTTCCCCACCTCCAGCTATGGATAAATAGCAGGACAGACCGGGTTCTATAGGCTTGGATGGCAACTGGTCTACCGCAGAAAGAAATGGCATGCTACTGCGGAAAAAATCTGTCTCGTCAGTCACGTATCGAAAGATACCTGATCACCTAAGCGTGTATCACGCATGGCACATAACTAAAAACAGCTATGTTATTCTGCTTTCACAATTGAATAAATGGTAGAAAATACTCGGTTTTTGTGCATATCCGCCCAGGTAAATTCTCTGTGGTGCAAAACTGTTTAAATTTCTATATAATAAATTGTACCGTAGATCTAGGGATAGCTAACCGGTTTGAAATAGAGCCGTAACTATTTCCTGATTTGTGGAAATTAATAATTCTCTGTCTCATGTCAACGCTAAGTTCCTTTGTCTTCAACAATGGTGACACTGCAGGCACCACGTGATGTTCTTTGCTGGAATTATCACAAATATTCAACTGAATAAATAGTCTAGAAGGCTTCACCGATAAAATAATTATGTAAATTACTATTACTTACATGAATCAATCAATTTAAAACGATATTTTCTACTGTACGAATAATTTTGTTTTTTCCTATTTTGCATAATTCGCCTATCAAATTTGTTGTATTTAACCCATTGTTCTGGAAATTGAGTTTTCTTTCTTTTTTTGTGTGCTTATTAACATATAAACAACCTGACATCACATGGGCATTAGATTCTGAGAAATGGATAAAAATATTCAAAATTGATGGGTGTACGAATAATTTCGTCGTTGGCTATAGATGGTTGTGTGGACATAATTCCGGGAGGCAGTGATTTATGAACCAGCTATATTTAGGAATGCAGTTTGAATAAAGAAATTGTAGGATATTATATTAATGTTATTGCTGTGGCCACGTTAGGGCCAGAAATAAATACACAAAAAGAGGAATTGAGTTAAACAAATATATTAACAGAAACAGTAATACAAACATATGCAGCAAGAATGTTCGATCCGACTGTCAGCGATGACTGTTGAAAACTTCCATCTCCAAAAGGCAGTAACTGCTCCTATTTATAGCTGGAAGAGTCCATGCATGAGTGGTTAAATTACCCTAATAGATAGATAGATAGATAGATAAATAGATAGTATTGTGGCCTTGTTAGGAATAGAAAGAGAGGAACTGAGTTAAACAAATATATTAACAGAAACAGTAATAGAAACATAAACCAACCAGAGTGTTACAACAAGAATGTTCAGTCAAACTGTCAGAGCTGACTACTGGAAACTTCCATCGCTAAAAGGCAGTAACTGTTTCTATTTATAGCCGGGAGAGCCCATACGTGCGTGGGTAAATTACCATAATAGATAGATAGATAGATAGATAGATAGATAGATAGATAGATAGATAGATAGATAGATAGATAGATAGATAGATAGTGGTGTGGCCAGAAATAAAGACACAAACAGAGGAACCGAGACAATATATATATTAACAGAAACAGTAATAGAAAAATATAAAAACGAGAGTGTTACAGCAAGAATGTTCAGTCTGACTGTCAGAGTTGACTGCTGGAATCTTCCATCTCCAAAAGGCAGTAACTGCTCTTATTTATAACTGGGAGAGTCCATGCGTGCCTGGGTAAATTACCATAGCAGTTATGAAAGAGGTACTTCATGTTGATTGTTTGGTTGTTTGATTTTGTTTGACGACATATCAACACCCCTATGGGTTATTTTGAATTATTATTTGTATTTTTAGTCATTTTGCTTTAAACATGTATTGTTGGTCATTTTACTCTAAATATGTATTGTTCGAATTTTTATATCAAATTGTATTGCTATTATTTTTACTATAAAAATATTTTTTATACTTTCATAGTGTTCCGTTTTTGTTTTGGGGTTGATTATTTGCCCATAGCTGGCACCCTAACAGGTGCTACCACCCCGGTACAGAATGGACATGAGAGGTGGTTCCACGCTTCTCAAAGTCTCCAATCCCCCGATAAGACAACTCGCTGATGGATGTAGTTTATCGTATGCCTAGATCTAAAGAGATGAATGTGTATCTTTCCCAGGGCTATATGCGCGTGAGGAAACGTTAACGAACCTGGGATTCGAACTCATATCCGAGCCGTTAACCATTAAACTACATCCGATAGTTTGAGTAATATGTAATAATAAATTATATATTTCTAATTATAATTATTCACTATTTTCTTTTAATATCTTTGTTTCATTAATCAAGCTATAAGTGTATTTCATTTGGTTTTATTTCCCTATGTCAAATTAACATATTTACATTTTCTTTTAAGATATTTTCTTTTAATATATTTTATTTTTAATATATTTTATTTTAATATATTTTATTTTAATATATATTATTTTAATATATTTTATTTTAATATATTTTATTTTAATATCTTTTATTTTAATATATTTTATTTTAATATATTTTATTTTATATCTTTTCTTTTAATATATTTTATTTTAATATATTTTCTTTTAATATATTTTCTTTTAATATATTTTAATTTAATATCTTTTATTTTAATATATATTATTTTAATATATATTTTTTAATATATTTTATTTTAATATATTCTATTCTAATATCTTTTATTTTAATATATATTACTTTAATATATTTTAATTATTTTATTTTAATAATTTTATTTTAATAACTTTTCTTTTGATATATTTTATTTTTATATATTTTATTTTAATATATTTTATTTTAATATATTTTATTTTAATAACTTTTCTTTTGATATATTTTTTTTTAATTTTTTAATTTATATTTTTATTTTAATATATTTTATTTTAATAACTTTTCTTTTAATATATTTTATTTTAATATATTTTATTTTAATATATTATATGATATTAAAATCTCATTGATTAGTTCAGGAGATATTTTTGAAATTTAATCAAATATATTTTAATCGATCGGAGCATTTTTAAGTATCAGGTGGCTATGGTAAACGGGGTTTTTTTTAAGTTTTTTTTTTCAGTTCTTTTGATAATGCTCTTGTAAAAGTAGGAAAACGTGAACAAGAAAATTATAAAATATAAGATTCATGTATTACTTTCAGAATGAAATAAATGAAAAGAAAGTAAAGATTACAGCGACTATATTGAAATATGTCGAAAAATATTCATATGTTTAAATCTTCGCAAGCACTCTGCTTGATATCGATCTTTTTTCATTATCTATCTATCTATCTATCTATCTATCTGTCTGTCTATCTATCTCAGACTATTCATATCTATCTATCTATCTATCTCAGACTATTCATATCTATCTATCTATCTATCTATCTATCTATCTTTTAATCTATCATTTTCTATCTATCTATCTATCTATCTATCTATCTATCTATCTATCTCAGACTATTCATATCTATCTATCTATCATTTTTAACCTGCTTATATCTATCTATCTATCTATCTATCTGTCTGTCTGTCTGTCTGTCTGTCTGTCTGTCTATCTATCTATCTATCTATCTATCTATCTATCTATCTCAGTTTGTTCATATCTATCTATATATGTATGTATCTTTTTAACCGGTTCATATCTATCTCAGTTTTTTCATATCTATCCATCATTTTCAACCTCCTTATATCTATCTATCTATCTATCTATCTATCTATCTATCTATCTATCTATCTATCTATTTAGATTTTGATATCCCGTAAAATGTTAAACATACTGACCTTTTCGATTTTTTATATATATATATATATATATATATATATATATATATATATATATATATATATATATATATATATATATATGCAAATATATGGATATAGATCCGACAGTATGAAGAAAAATATATACGGAAATAACAAACAAAAATCCTTATATGCAATTATGCTGTTTTAATGTTAATATGTCAACGTCGGACGTTTCGGTCTAATAAACCATCTTCAGAACTTATTCATAAAATATAATTAACATTATCAATTCAACATGACAACCTGTTCTTATGTCCATCGTCTTTGTCATTTTTCCAGATACAAGTTCTTCTTTTTAACCATTTTTTATTTCCTTTGGTGATTGTTTTCTTTTTTTATGGTTTATCAATGCTGAAAACCTTTCAATTTTTCGGGTGAATATGGAATAAAAAATTTCTTTCAGAAAGAACAATGATGTTTACATAGATAAAACCTAAAAATATTTAACAAATATCTAGGGGGTGGGGGAGATGCATTCATGGAATTCCCAAAGGTATTTGATATGGTGAATGCAATAAATCCGACTGGAATTCGAAAGCAGATCTCCGATTTCTCATTCAGTATAGCTATCTCTTGCACCATCCTCACCTACCCAGTAGGCTTCCAAAAATCTGGGTTTACTTATAGCTTTCATTATATAAAATTAAATACACTGTATTTTATTTTACTCTCTATTTATCCAAGTCACACTTGCTGTCTTCCTCAATCAAATCTCTCTCTCTCTCTCTCTCTCTCTCTCTATCTATCTATCTATCTATCTATCTGTAGAGAAACGTGAACAAGAAAATAAAAATATTAAACATCCAAATGGTTCTCATGAATTGCGTTATATATATAT